ATAGGCTCCGGCAGTTGGAGACCGAAAACAAAACACTGAAAAAGCAAATCATTATTAATACTCATAATAACGCTAATAGTAGTAATGAATTGAATGGAAAGCCAATTAATAGTAATCATAATAATGGTAGTAATCATACGCTAAGTAATGGTTGTTCACCGGCACTGGTATTCAAGCAAAACGTCGACAACCTGTGCGATAGTCTTAAACTGAAATCCAGTTCCAAACAGATTATGCAAAAGTAAGTGATTTTTTGTTGGTTGGCATACCTTTCCCCTCAGAGTGAGAGCACATCCACCAAATAAAAGTGTATTATATTTATGTTAGTAATTGCGATGTAAATATGTATTTTACTGATAGCATACTAGCATAATAATAAAAATATACTACATGTCCAGTGGGGATTCATTATGTTATATAATATAATAGTAGGGTAGTTTTAATTATCACTAATTTGTAGGAAAAATTATTTTTTATAACTCATTAGTAGTTATGAATTAATACCGGAATTAATATCAGCCCTAAAGGCATAGAAAAATAATTTTAATTAAGATTTTAATTTATTATGAATTCCCCCAAACAACAACTGGTGCTCTGGAAAAAAACTTTACCCACAAATAGCTTATAAATCATATTAAAAAAAATTAAAATAACTTATTTTTATCCCTATTTTTAGCGCAAACGGGGATAACAGCGAAAGTGATGCGAAAAATAGTGTCAAAAATAGCAGTAAAATAATCGGCGATACGATCGACACAAAAACGGCAAACAATAGCCTCAATAGGCGCCGGAATACCATTCAATACACTAGTGGCCCGGCTATTGGTGCCGTGAATGGCGTGAAAAACAATAGTAATAATAATAATGCAAATAATCATCACCTGAATGGCGACCAGTTGTATGCATTGCAAGAGATGTGCCAACAATTCAAGAGAATTATCAATCAATTGGAGGACAAAATAATTGGTTTAGAGAAAGTCAATAAAACACTTGAGATCGACAACGAGACCCTGGCCTATAAGGTATGTCCACTCACATTGAGGGTCAACCATTAAACCCATAGACACGGGTGGGATAGGGATTGGTAGGGCTAGTTAATAGGTACTGGAGCTATTGGTGTATATTTTCTATCTAGATAAGTATAAAAATCGTATATATGTTATTATGGGACAGGGATGTCTAGTATAACCAGTAATGTGCTAGTTATTGAATAAAATTTAATTTATGATAATTATTTTATTAAAAATCCCTTTTCTACACATTTAATGTTAATTGAAATTATACTGAAAATTTAAATATAATGTATTTTATTACAAATAATTTCTATTAATAGGTATTTAAATATTACAATTAAATAATGAAATATAATACCGCCCCATAGAAAATGTAGTACAGGTGCTCATATCTAGAGATGTTATACTATCCTATTATTATTATTTAAATTTTTGAATTATTAATTTACAATTATTTATATCTAATGTCACTATAATGTAGGCCATAGTCGGTAGTATAGAGTATAATATAAAATAAGTTTTGAATTAAATTAACATATATTTTGAAAAAGTAAACAAATTTGTTGCATTGATATGAATGCTATAAATATACCCATTTGCCTATCAAAATACCCGGAACAGTTTCCCGCCCGTCAATCAATTTATTATGTTTTTTGAGTCATTAATCAGTATTTGTATTCATAAATACAAAAACGGTTTTATGATTAATATTATTATATTTTATTGATTAGTATTTAAATGGTTTTAGATTTTTGTTATTCAAGTCTTTAGTTTCGGGAAAATTAATAGCTTTTTGTTTTTAATATTTTTTTTCATTGTGTATAGAAATAAACGTTTATTATTAAGTATATTAGGATTTATGTCAAAAAGGTTTTAAAATAATTAAAAGTGATTGTAATCTCACATATGTATTGACATAAAACTTTTGAAATTAATTTATCACAAAGTTTTAAAACACTTTTGATTTGAAATGCCTGTCGATTGCGAAGTAATTTATTTTTATTGAGAAAATTCCGGCAAAAGTTTTGTTGAATTTTTGTAAAAATAAAACTTTATTTTAATTAATATTTAAATTTATTTTGCTTTTCATGAGGAAAGGGTTGAATAATTATATGAAATGTATTTCCAATTGAAAAAACTTTGAATAGAAATCAATCAAAAGCTAGAGATTTGTGTTTATAATTGAAATTTGTTTTGATTTATAAGAAAAAGATTTTGAGTTTTAATTTCATTCACAGATTGAACGCAAGTTTTGCTAAACTTTTATCTGAAATCACAATCCGATTGCAAACCATAAGTGAAAAGCAAATAAAAAATATTCAATTGAAAAGTTGATACAAAATATTGTATTAAAAACTTTTATTCAGTGGAAAAATATATGAGAAAATAGTTGCCATAAAAAACTGAATAAACTTTATTTTATTGTTAAATACCTATCATTTTGATCTCAAAAATAGTCTCAAAAATTTGTATTCAATTTAAAAAACGAGTTAAAGTTACGGAAAATCTATTCAAGCAAATAGTGTATTAAAAATAGTCACAAAAACTCGTAAAAGAAATAAATCCCAAAAAGAAAATTAAGTTTTTTGTTGAAAAATACGAAAAAATACTTTTCAAATGCAATTCAAATCTCAATAGTATTTGTACAATAAGTTGTTAATAGGATAATACCCGGGGTATTGGTTTAGATTTTCACGACAAATATGAATACTTTAAATAATAACATATATTTTCTGAAAATAAATTCAAAACTAAATTATTTTACATTAGATTCAAAAGTTTGCTAAAAATCTAATTTAAGTTATAATATATAAAATCCCATACAATACCTATTTATTCTAGCAATATTTATACTTGAAATAAACTGAATTTAAATTTGACATTACACGAATAAAAAGTTATAATTAAATTAAACACTACATTACAGTTATATGTGTTTACTATTGTACTGGTATAATGTATTATTAATATAAATAAATAGTAACTAGCATGCATTTTCCATAATTACTTCTCATTAAACCATTGCCTACCAGTGCCTCCCTATCCCCAAATCAATTAAAACACTACATGACTGTCCGATTGACTGATTATCTATTATCTGATCTGTTTTATGGACACAAAAAGCTATCGGAGTCTCAATCACAGAGCGATCACTTGGAAAACCAATTACTGAAACTCAGTGACAAAAAACGCCAATCTCAGGACCTTAAGGTAGGCCTACCCGTCCCCGAAGTCTTATATGTTAGATCTCATTGAATACGGTTTCCCATAACTAATTGGTTGAGAGGGAGGAGAGAGAGAGAGAGAGAGAGAAAGAGAGAGAGAGAGAGAGAGACTACGAGTGCTTAACATAATTGTAATTAGATTTGTGTAAAAATTATTGAGTTTTTTTGGATAATAAATAATAATTAGTATTATTGTCGAGATTTTAATTTAATAGATCTCTCTCTCTCTCTCTCTCTCACTAGTAATTTTCATAATTGCCGATAATTTTAGGCCATAAAAACTAATGACAAGTATATTTCGTATGAATGCATAAAATTTTCATGTTTTACACGATTTTAATGAATAGATTTCCGAACACTTTATTGAATACAGAAAATTCACGAACGAATGGTTATTATTGTTATTTATTTGCGAGAAAATTGTTTGTAATAAACGTAAAAAATGCAAATACGAGAGAGAGAGAGAGAGAGAGCAAAATATTTCGCAAAAAATGATTGAAAAAACACAAAATTCAAGCGAAAAAACTATTTTTCATAAACAAAAGTGAAACTCATTGTACTTATGGTACATATACTTTGACCCAAAATATGTTACAAACATTTTCTTATTTATCACTACATATTATTATTATTCAACACAAAAACACATTACATAATAAAAAAAACACCATTCAATTGAACAGTCATTTGTATACTAATAGAGTGTATCGTAAAAAAAACTTTTACAAACTTTTTACAAACTTATAAAAAACTAAAATTATTTATTTTTCTTATCGCTAACCCTATGGCATACGTGTCAACCCTATTAAACACGCACTTTCCCCATGAAATTATCCACTTGTGGGGGACGGGTATGTTACGGGCACCAGGAGGTCGAGGAGTATTTAGAGCACGTATGGAAACTATCCAACGATAGGCTCCGGCAGTTGGAGACCGAAAACAAAACACTGAAAAAGCAAATCATTATTAATACTCATAATAACGCTAATAGTAGTAATGAATTGAATGGAAAGCCAATTAATAGTAATCATAATAATGGCAGTAATCATACGCTAAGTAATGGTTGTTCACCGGCACTGGTATTCAAGCAAAACGTCGACAACCTGTGCGATAGTCTTAAACTGAAATCCAGTTCCAAACAGATTATGCAAAAGTAAGTGATTTTTGTTTTGTTTGTTGGCATACCTGTCCCCTCAAAGTGAGAGCACATCCACCAAATAAAAGTGTATTATATTGTTGTTAGTAATTGCGATATAAATATGTATTTTACTGATTGTATACTAGCATAATAATAAAAATATACTACATGTCCAATGGGGATACATTATGTTATATAATATATAGTAGTAGGGTAGTTTTAATTATCACTAATTTGTACGAAAAATTAGTTTTTATGACTCATTAATAGTTATGAATTAATACCGGAATTAATATCAGCCCTAAAGTCATAGAAAAATAATTTTAATTAAGATTTTAATTAATTATGAATTCCCCCAAAAAACAACTAGTGCTCTGAAAAAAAACTTTACCCACAAATAGCTTATAAATCATATTTAAAAAAATTTAAAATAACTTATTTTTATCCCTATTTTTAGCGCAAACGGGGATAACAGCGAAAGTGATGCGAAAAATAGTGTCAAAAATAATAGTAAAATAATCGGCGATACGATCGACACAAAAGCGGCAAACAATAGCCTCAATAGGCGCCGGAATACCATTCAATACACTAGTGGCCTGGCTATTGGTGCCGTGAATGGCGTGAAAAACAATAGTAATAATAATAATAATAATAATGCAAATAATCATCACCTGAATGGCGACCAGTTGTATGCATTGCAAGAGATGTGCCAACAATTCAAGAGAATTATCAATCAATTGGAGGACAAAATCATTGGTTTAGAGAAAGTCAATAAAACACTTGAGATCGACAACGAGACCCTGGCCTATAAGGTATGTTCACTCACATTGAGAGTCAACCATTAAACCCATAGACACGGGTGGGATAGGGATTGGTAGGGCTAGTTAATAGGTACTGAGAGCTATTGGTGTATATTTTCTATCTAGATAAGTATTAAAATAGTATGTATGTTATAATGGGACAGGGATGTCTAGTATGACCAGTAATGTGCTAGTTATTATTCAATAAAATTTAATTTATGATAATTATTTTATTAAAAATCCCTTTTCTACACATTTAATGTTAATTGAAATTATACTGAAAATTTAAATATAATATATTTTATTACAAATAATTTCTATTAATAGGTATTTAAATATTACAATTACATAATGCAATATAATACCGCCCCATAGAAAATGTAGTACAGGTGCTCATATCTAGAGATGTTATACTATCCTATTATTATTATTTAAATTTTTGAATTATTAATTTACAATTATTTATACCTAATGTCACTATAATGTAGGCCATAGTCGGTAGTATAGAGTATAATATAAAATAAGTTTTGAATTAAATTAACATATATTTTGAAAAAGTAAACAAATTTGTTGCATTGATATGAATGCTATAAATATATATATTTGCCTATCAAAATACCCGGAACAGTTTCCCACACGTCAATCAATTTATTATGTTTTTTGAGTCATTAATCAGTATTTGTATTCATAAATACAAAAACCGTTTTATGATTAATATTATTATATTTTATTGATTAGTATTTAAATGGTTTTAGATTTTTGTTATTCAAGTGTTTAGTTTCGGGAAAATTAATAGCTTTTTGTTTTTAATATTTATTATTTTTTTCATTGTGTATAGAAATAAACGTTTATTATTAAGTATATTAGGATTTATGTCAAAAAGGTTTTAAAATAATTAAAAGTGATTGTAATCTCACGTATGTATTGACATAAAACTTTTGAAATTAATTTATCAAAAAGTTTTAAAACACTTTTGATTTGAAATGCCTGTCGATTGCGAAGTAATTTATTTTTATTGAGAAAAGTTTAGTTGAATTTTTGTAAAAATAAAACTTTATTTTAATTAATATTTAAATTTTATTTTGCTTTCCATGAGGAAAGGGTTGAATAATTATATGAAATGTATTTCCAATAGAAAAACACTTTGAATAGAAATCAATCAAAAGCTAGAGATTTGTGTTTATAATTGAAATTTGATTTGATTTATAAGAAAAAGATTTTGAGTTTTAATTTCATTCACAGATTGAACGCAAGTTTTGCTAAACTTTTATCTGAAATCACAATCCGATTGCAAACCATAAGTCAAAAGTAAATAAAAAAAATATTCAATTGAAAAGTTGATACAAAATATTGTATTAAAAACTTTTATTCAGTGGAAAAATATATGAGAAAATAGTTGCCATAAAAAACTGAATAAACTTTTTATTGTTAAATACCTATCATTTTGATCTCAAAAATAGTCTCAAAAATTTGTATTCAATTTAAAAAACGAGTTAAAGTTACGGTAAATCTATTCAAGCAAATAGTGTATTAAAAATAGTCACAAAAAACTCGTAAAAGAAATAAATCCTAAAAAGAAAATTAAGTTTTTTGTTGAAAAATACTTTTCAAATGCAATTCAAATCTCAATAGTATTTGTACAATAAGTTGTTAATAGGATAATAGCCGGGGTATTGGTTTAGATTTTCACGACAATTATGAATACTTTAAATAATAACATGTATTTTCTGAAAATAAATTCAAAGCTAAATTATTTTACATTAGATTCAAAAGTTTGCTAAAAATCTAATTTAAGTTATAATATTAAAAATACAATACAATACCTATTTATTCTAGTAACATTTATACTTGAAATAAACTGAATTTAAATTTAACATTACACAAATAAAAAGTTATAATTAAATGAAACACTACTTTACAGTTATATGTATTTACTATTATACTGGTATATAATGTATTATTAATATAAATAAATATTGTAGTAACTAGCATGGATTTTCCATAATTACTTCCCATTAAACCATTGCCTACCAGTGCCTCCCTATCCCCAAATCAATTAAACACTACATGGCTGTCCGATTGACTGATTATCTATTATCTGATCTGTTTTATGGACACAAAAAGCTATCGGAGTCTCAATCACAGAGCGATCACTTGGAAAACCAATTACTGAAACTCAGTGACAAAAAACGCCAATC